TCTATCTATCTATCTATCTATCTATCTATCTATCTATCTATCTATCTATCTATCTATCTATCTAATCATTTACACACACACACACACACGGGCAGTGCCTCTCAACCTCAGCAACTTTAAGCTGGGTGGACTTCAAGTCCCAGAGTTCCCCATCCAGAAACTTTAAGATGTATAGAATTCTGGGAGTTGAAGTCCACACAGTTCAAAGTTGCTGAGGTTGAGAGACACCGATATGTGGAATTACATATTCATAACATGTATGATGTACATGTCTGTGTGTCTGTATATATTATATTTTATATATATAGACACACGCGCGCACACACACACACACATGTAAAACTCAAGACAACGAACACACAGCGCAAACACAGAGCACGTCATACTCCTGCCTGCCTCCTATTTTCCCCACAACAGCAGCCCTATGAGGTGGGTCGGGCTGAGAGAGAGGGGCTGCCCCAAAGTCACCCAACTGGTTTTTGCCCTGAGGGGAGGCCAAGAACTCACCCTCTCCTGGTTTCTAGACTAGCACTTTAACTATTGCACCAGACTGGCTCTCTACAGCAGTGTTTCTCAACCTCAGCAACTTTAAGATGTGTGGATTTCCGCTCCCAGAATTCTACACGCCTTAAAGTCACTGAGGTTGAGAAACACTGGTGTAGATGGTTCTTGTTCTATTCCACCCCTTCCCCCAAAAAACACTGCAGGCTGGAGAAGGGCAGAGAGAACAGCTCATCCTTCTACCCTATCTCTGCTGTGGAAAGTTTCCGTCCTTGCTCTGCCCAGGAAGAAGAATCTCTGAGTATCCTTGGAAAGTGGTAACGTCTTTCTTTTTCCCTCTCTCTCTCTGCTTCCAGGTTGTCCCCATCGATCAAGAGTGGAATAATTATCACAACCCAGAAGGCCTCATCGCAAGGAAGCGATACGCTTCTCTCTGTAGGTTGCTGCACCAGTTCATGTGAAGTCCCTTTTGATATTTCAGATATAGCACTCACCTTTTTTTTTTTTTAATGGGGTTGCTTCACGATGGGGTGAGATTGCCTTGTTCGCAGGTGCTGTAGGTTGGATGGTAGCCGAGGAGCTTTGTGATAGCCAGTGATGCAGGGAGAAGTATTTATATGTTGTGTATCTGGGCTGAGTAGGGTAGCAAAGGATGGTAGATTTCAAAGGCAGGATTGCATTGCCAAAGGTCTATGGGATGGGCATGCATTTGGAATAGAAATAAGAATAAATGATACAAGGTAAACCTGTCAAACTCATTGTTCATCTAGAGTCATGTTGGTGCTCCTGAGTATTTTATGAAGTATATGGGTGTCCTGAGATTGAAGAGGAGCTGATTTGACATGGTTTCGGATTTCCACTGCATATATCATTGTAATATGCCAGTAAGAGAGAAAGAGCGATCTTCTGATGCAACACTAAGTCACAATTTTAGCTGGATGAGAATACCTTTCCTTTATTTGGAAGAATTTGGAAGCTCAGGTGTCATCCAGAGTGGCACACTATCATTGATTTTAACTGGTTTATTTGAACTTGTTTCAACTGTAATCAACATAAGCTGCTGTGTAGGATTCAAATAATGTTCTTAAGCTGTGCTTAATAAGAACTGGAAGCAAAGGTTTACCAATTCCTCCTGGGAAGGCTGGAATTCTCTGCTCCTCGTTCTTGTCGCACTCATCGGTTGCTTGATGACCTCAGGGCACCACGCTTGGTGGAGAAAATGTGTTAGAAGTGTGTATCTGGCTGCCTCCTTGATGGGATGTTGTTCTGTGGCAGGCTAATTTTGTGGAACGTGGACGGTGAAGACCGGTCTGTTCCATATGTCTGAGGATTCAGGCTGGAAGTGGTTGCATGTTCCCTTCTGGGAGAGCTGCTGGCCTGTTTTGACTTGGTGGGGCCCATGTTATTTCCAGTCTACTTATTCACAGGTTCCTTTTTCCATTCTATTGAATGCCCTTTCCCGCTTGTCGGAGAAGAAGCATGAAGAGCCGCTCCACAACTCCCCCCTTGCACGTCCACGTGGATGAAAATACCCCTGTCCACGTTCATATTAAAAAGGGTCAGAAAACACCACCACCTGCAAAAACCCAGGTATGAGTGTGCAGCTGGCTGCCTTCCGGAGCTCTGCTCCCCCCAAGGCCCAGCAAAAGCTCACTGCCTGCTTCTGCCGCTTCTGGGTATTGGTGCCAGCTTAACACGCTCAGCTGCTGCTGCTGCTGCTGCTTGAAGCTTATTCACTCTTGGTGCAGACTTGGAAATTGTCCCATAACTGTAGAAAATTGGGGCTGTATGGCGGATCGTGTTTGTAGTTGTGGGCGCCCATCTTTCCCAATGAGAAGTATCTTGTGTAGGACTTTTGCTCCAAATCAGTTCTGCTCCTCTGGAGGATAGATCTTGGCTTGCTGTCTCCTGTCATAAAATACAGTGTCTTCCCCCCCCCGCAACCCCCGCAGGGGAGGTTTGTTGCTGGGTTGGCCAAACAGATGACAAGGGTGTGAGGAGAAGAAACGGTAACATTTCTTAGCAGGGTTCTGCGAATTTCATATTAACAGGCTAGCTTGTGGTTCTGATTCAGTAGTAATGTTAGATAAACACATGTTCCTGGAAGATTGAGGAAAAAAAATTAGAGAAAGTTCAATGTGTTAAGAGGTTCAAAACTGATTGATTAAGTTGTCAGGAAAGAGTAGTTTTGAATCTCCTTTCCAGTTCAGGGGTTTCCCATGCTCACTGTCCTAGACTGTCTCATTGGGTTTGTATATCTTAAGTCACAGTTTGTGTAGCGCTGGTTAGCTGAATTGGCTGCCTTCAGCGCTGTTTGGAAGGCACTCTGTGGCCCAGACTTATTGCTCCCAGAAGTAAGGCCCACTGCCTTGCCTCAAAGTTACTGGTGGCCTTCCCCTTCCGCTGCTTCAGGCCTCTGTAGGAAGAGGCCAGGACTGCAGCTTTGTAGTTTGCCATATCCCAAATCGGCCCACTCTAATCTTCCCAGGGTAACCAAGGCCTGCTTTGCATCACAAGGGGCTAAGCAACATGGCTGATGTCATAATGACCTTGGCTAACCCAGGCCAATGCTCCTGTCAGGCTGGCCCCATACTCTCCTAGCTATGCGGTACCTATATTTCTTTTTCCTGAGCGTGGTTACTGAGACTGATCTGTGATGTAGAATGTGGAGCTTTTCCTGTGGTACTGTTCCTTGGAATGCCTCCGGGAGGGGGGAGCACCAGCTTTTTTGCACAGTCTTGCTGCGGTGGTGGTCGTGAGGGGGATCGGGGGTTAAGCTCCTCTTCTCTCCCTGCAGCAGAGGCACAAGCAGAAAATGAAAGGGGATACCGTGAATGTGCGCCGCAGTGTCCGAGTAAAAACTAAAGTCCCCTGGATGCCCCCAGGCAAAACATCTTGCAGAGAGTCATCGTACAAGTGGGAGGTAGGTGAGCCTCTGCAGCTGGGCTGAATCTTGGTTCGCTAATGTCTGCCTGTCGCTTGCTGGAGTCCTGGCCAGCCAGGATTCAGCGGATTCTTGGATTATTATCTTGCATGAACGGGGTTACTGTGTCCGTGTAAACCACTTGGGCCATTTACATCTCTTTCAGGTACTGAGTCTTAAATGCAAATAGAGCAGGGAAAACATAGGTACTGTGATGAGGTGTTACCTTTCTCTTGTGGAGAACGGGGAGGAAGGAGAAACGCTTGTGGGTCAGGCACTAAGCTTACATCGAGCCATGCATTTCCATCCCCTGATTGCCCCTCCTGTGCTATGCACACCTTACATAGATGGGGAGAGCCACGGAAGCTGCATCTTTTCGGTTGCGCTTCCTCGCCTTCCCTGGAAGACTTTCCTTTTCAAATTCCCACCAACGCTTCTGGAGGGCAGCCCGCTGGGGAAGGCTGCTCTGGGGTTGGGGCTGTATCTTGTTTCGCTCTTGCCACCCTTAATCAGGGACCGACCCATCGCCTGGAAATCACTCCTCCAGATTCCGAAAAGTTACTGTCAGTGCTTCGCTTGAGTGATCTTTCAACCGACGAGGAAGACGCCATTCACTGCAAGATGAACAAGTACGAGAAGAAGATTGACAGCTTACTCAATGTCGTGGGCACATTGAAAAATGAGGTGGGGTAGCTAAGTCTGAGTTGCATCAGTCTCCCCACCCCCACCACAGAGTTTTTGAAAGAAATGTAACAAAGTGGCTCTTTGCAAAAAAAGGGAAAAGCAGTAAGATGAAGAAGTTAATTATGTTTCCTACGTGGAAGTTTTTGATTTACTGCTAGGTGGCTTCATTGCATAATCTAGCAAGAATTAAAGGGGGGAATCTCCATTGTTTGATTTTGTTTCTGTCTGTTTGGAGCTGCTTCTCTAAAAAGGAGCAAAGCAAGGAAGGAATAAAACTGCTGGTGCCTGTCTTTCCGAAAATATGAAGCAAACAGCTTAATGTGGATATTTGAGGAAGTCCTCTTGTTTATGCAGCTTGCATACATACTAATGACATCCACACACTGCATCATGACAGGAATAAATGTTGGAGGCCTTCCCAAACTTTTGATGTTGGTGCTAGGGAAGTTGTAGACTCGGCAACTGGGGGAGAGGGCACCACATTGGGGTCCACTAGACCAGAGCCCATCCTGCGATTCCCTCCCGTGTTCCTGACAGTGATCTGAAGTAATGGTCCCGGCTTCTGGGGTGCTCTGGATGAAGCCCACACCATGACTTGGTTCCCCCCATCCACAGGTCAAGGTGCCAAAGAGGGATGAGCCGCGATGTGTGGCCAAGCGTCTTCTCGAAGAGCAGAAGGACGAGTTGGACGAGGTCACTCAAGAGCTGGTGGAGACAGAACATGAGAACACAGTCCTCCGACGCAACATTGAGCGGATGAAGGAGGAGAAAGATCTTACCATGTAATTAAATATTCAGCTGCTGGGTAACGCGAGGGTTGGAAAGTAGTGTTTAGCACGGGCTTCTCTTAACAAGGGGTTATAGACCATTCTGTTTGGCTGTAATTCTGTGTCTTTTGTGATGGTCGAGGTGGGGAAGAGCAACCATTTGCCTCCTGTCTGTGCTGAAGTCTAGATCTTTAAGTCTTAATTCGGTAGAAAATACTGCTTATTTTGTATATAAGCAGGGCACTGTATGTAGTCCCATCCATTAAGCAAAAGATTGTTCACACCCTAAACTCTGGGTGCTCTGCCAACTCTCTCAAGCCCACTCGGCTGAATGGGATGTTTTTCCATGACATGGCATGGTTTGAGAAGGTAGGCTCCCCCAGTGCTTGGAGGACGGGGGGAGAATGACAAAGAAAGACGACTTCAGGGACACGTTTTGTGTTCGGAGTTCCTGGAATTCCCAGCTGATGGAAGCTTTTCGTCCGCCTTTGCTGAAAGGCATAAACATCAGGGAGGGACCTTCTGGCTTAGTTTTCCCTTCAGCTCAATTCCTACTCCCTGAGAATGTATTTTTGTTTTTAAACATGACTATTATTATTAAAAGGCAAAAGGGTGAAACAGCAAATCCTTGGCTGCCGTGTGAAGTGGGACAATGAATTGTGCATGTATGAGTTGTGTTTGCCAACTCAAGCCTTTGGCATTGGAGATCTGGGTGGGAACCACACCTGAGAATCCCAGCCCACACCTGGCTTTTCTGCTAGAGACTGGCCTGTCGAGGGTCTCTTTAGGGCCTTGCAGCCCATCTCCTTCCCCTCCCCACCCTTTTCCAAGGATTGACGTGGTCTTCTTTTCAGACTCCAGAAGCGGCATCTGTTGCACGAGAAGGAGTGTTTGATGTCCAAGTTGGTGGAGGCAGAACTGGATGGGGCAGCCGCTGCCAAGCAGATCCAGGCCTTGAAGGATGTGATTGGGAAACTGAAAACTGTACGTGCAGAGCTGGGCGTGCGGAGGGGCAGTTTCTCTGTTGTGCAGGAGCCAGCGGTCCTCCTGAGTGGTTTATTTGGGTGTTCTGACTCCCAAATCCCCTGAGGCTGCATCTGGACATGCAGTCACTCTGGAGAGCACAAGTGGAGATATTTGTGGTTGTCCTGAGAAGAGACGTTGCTTCAAGATGGGCTGTGGGTCCATGAATGTGTAAAACTCAATAAGGGCATTTTAACATGGCTTCTCCTTCACGCGGTGTCTTATGAAACAGAGCAGTCATGTAGCAAATCTGGAGGACTTGGCCTGATTCTCTTCTCTTCTTCCCTGCCCTCGGATTCCCAAATCTCAGGAGAAACACATGACAGTTTCTGACATCAACACACTGACTAGGCAGAAAGAGTTGTTGCTGCAGAAGCTGAGCACTTTCGAAGACACCAACCGGACCCTCCGAGATCTGCTCAGAGAGCAGCACAACCGGGAGGTGAGTGAGGACTGAAAAGCTTCTGGGCTGCCAGATAATCAATCCCACCGTTGCCATTTGTTCTGAATCGTGCTGGTTTCTTCTCGTACAGAAAGATGCTCAAAAGTTGGCAGAGCAGCAAGCTACACTGATGAAAAAGCTAACTGATTCTGATGCGGAGAAAGCGGTAAATATAGACTACCCCAGTTCCCTATATGCGTGTGAGTTTTCCTACCAGCATATTGATAACGCTTCAGATAACTGTGAAGGCTATTTTTTGACTTTGAAATGCAAGTGGCAGGTTGTGCTTTAGGCCCAGGGAACCCCACCTCCATACTCAATCTGTAACATTGAAGTAGTCACCTGCTGCTTAAAACACTCAGGGAATAATTTGTAGATTTTATTTTAGTCCACTTTTGAAAGGAGCATAATCTGTATTTCAATAGCTGCTTTCTCACCGAACAACTATGTATCACTCTGAACACAGATGCCTGAGTTTTCTGAGCCCCCTCTTATTTGATTCTGTATTTTTGATTTTGGAGGTTCTGTTTCTTTATGCCTGCAATTTTATCTCTTGTACGTTTTGTAGCAATTGCTAAAGAAACTACAAGAAAAAGAAAAGGAAGTTGATGATTTATTGGTTCAGATACAGACCGAAAAGGTATGTTTTTCCTGGGGGGGTTGTAGAGAGGGGATAAGTAGCGCAAAGGAAGTTTTGTGTGCCATGGGGTGGACAATTGGAGCGTTTTACATGTTCTTTGTGTTCTGCGTTTCATTATTGCCTTCCAGGATCAAGCCAAGACAGCGTCTGAACTCTCAAAGTCTATGGAAGCTGTGAGGGGTCACCTGCAAGCGCAGCTGCGGAATAAGGAGGCCGAGAATCACCGCCTGGGTATCCAGATCCGGGTACAGAGCCTTCTACTTCTGATGGACAGAGGGGACCGGGTGATGCCCGTGCTGCAAGATAGGGAGGCTCCCTGGACTGCGTCAGTTCAGGCTGCAGGGTGTATGTTTTAAAGGCTCCTCTGGGTATTTATTTGAAATAATAAGGACAAAGATGTGCTGAAACTCTCCCTGCTTGCTTGACACTTGGGGAGATTAGAGGAGTGTTGAAAAGTCATCCTCCGCATACAGGTATGGTCCATTCCGGTTGCTGCACGTGAAGACCAGCTCCCAGTCTTTGAATAGATTGCTGCTTTTTTGTAGGGGGGCAGAATTCTGGGGCATCTGGGATACAGAGTAGTCTTCCATTAAGATGAGTTTATTTATTTTAGAAGTGGTTGAATTGGGATCCAACTCCAATCGCTGCCTAGAAATAATATCCTAGATCTGGACTTTTCTTTTGGCCATCCTCGGGCCTCTCCCCTCTTCTGGAAGTCTGGGATCCTGGCTGTCCAAGAAATAGTGGCTTTTACAGGGGATGCATTTGACACCTCTTGCTATTTGGGGGAGTGTCAGCTATGTCCTTCAAGGCATATTTGCCAGAGAGGCCTAAGTCTGCTCAAAAAAAACCTGTTGCTGTTATGGAGGCAGCTTTGGAGCAGTCGTGACCACAGCAACATTGGTGGCTTTGTAGTTGTTGTTTCCTGCTTTGGTTCAACATTGATCAGCTGGTTAAAAGGAGGGCCGGGAGGCATCATTCTTGTGTTTCTGCTGCCTCTGGTTTGGGGGCCTGAAGTTCCAAGCATCCCTTTGGGCGTCCTGATTTTCTTCCTTCCCTCCTTCCTCCCAGAATCTGGAGCGGGTCGCGGCTCAGCATAAGGCCGAAGTGGACAATATCATGGAACAGTTGAAGGAGCTGAAGGCCAAAGGAGATCGGGACAAGGAGGCCCTGAAGAAAGCCATCAAGGCCCAGAAGGAGCGAGCGGAGCGGAGCGAGGAGTATGCTGACCAGCTGAACGTCCAGTTAGCAGAAAAGGTGATGGCTGGGCATTTCTCGAAGTTGGGCCATAGCTGGGAAGCGACCTCCTTAAGCCATCTGAAAAATGGGGCATTTCTGTCCTGAGCTTTATTGAGAGATGCGATTCAGAGTAGGGAAAAGGGAGGAAAAAAAGGCAAGCTTTGGAGTGTCAGTGTTGTCCCGTTCATTCTGAAGAAGAACTCACTCGCCTTCAGAGTTGCCGAAAGAAGATCGTCTGGTAGCCAAATGATATTTAATAGGCTTGAAGCTAGCACTAATCCGTGGTATCTGAGGGGCTGTTGGTGGGACTCTGATGCTTCCCAAAGACTAAACTTCATTTGGGAGTTCACTGGCTTTCATCCTCTTCACTCCACTCCCTCTCTCTTTCTCTACTGTATAATTTCCCTGTCCTCGATTAATTGCGGTTTAGCATAGCCCTAACTGGCTCTCAACCTCAGCTTTCTCTTTCCCTGTGTGTTGCCTTGCTTGGTAGGACACCTACGTGTCTGAAGCATTGTCCACCTTGGAATCCTGGCGGGGACGCTACAACCAAGTCGTCAAAGACAAAAGTGACCTAGAGGTGGAGATTGTGATGCTGAACAGGTGAGAGGTGCAATGTATGTGGCAGAGGAGCTGGCTCCTGCAGTAACTATAAGCCTGGTGGTGACATCTCAGTGCATGAATTCCAGCAAGCAATAGCGTGCTCTCTGGTCCACCAACGATGGCTATGTGGTTCTGAAGGACAGGGTCTTTCCCTAACCCCAACCTATTGGAATGCCCTCCCTTGAGAAATACACCTGATGGGTCCCCCTTTGGGTGGATTTCAGCGATTTCAACTCAAGGCTACATTTAGCAAATTGCAGAATATTGTGCTTTTAGTTAGGGTTTTGTCTGCTGCTCATATCTTCTTGGTTGCTTTGACGAGGTACGGATTGAGTATGCTGGGATTTGATTATTAAATCTGAATTACAATCCACTCTTGGAGTAGTTTTTTTAGCTTGAAAAGTGGATTGTAAGTCTTGTTAGACTAATAGCGAGAAGGAGCAGCAGCTTGGTGCCCAGAGCAGGATGGTGACATCACACTGCCACTCTGAATGGTGGAAGCTTACAGTGTTTCACATGTTGTGGAAGTGTGTGTTATGATGAGGCCGCTGCTTTCTTCCCTGTTGGTAATGGTTGATTCCCCCGGCTGTGCGGCAGCCGAATTTCAGAGCTGATGGAGCAGCAGAACACCATGGAAGACAAAATGCGGGAAGACCGCGATGCCTTGGTGGATAAACTGCACAAACAGGTCACAGAGAGCACCTCTTTCAAAATGGAGAACGAGAGGCTGAAGGTCAGTAGAGAGGCTCTCACATGACTGGAGCTGGTGTGGCTTTGAGCTGGCCAGAACATCTGCTGGAGCAGCTCCGCTGGATTTAAGGGAGACTTCCTGCGAGAGCAGAATTTGATTTTGATTGATTGATCCTGTGCCATCAAGTTGGTGTCAACTCTTAGTGACCAGATAGATAGATTTTCTATGTATCTGATCTGTCCCAAATCGACTTCCCTTAATTTCACTGGAGCTGACCAAGGAGCTATTCACAGTTTGCTCAAGAGAGAATGTCCTCGTTCATACATAACCCCAAGACAAGTTTGGAACTCTGGATTGTTTCTGTGGGAGGTGACAGAAGTAATGTTAAAAACAAGCCAGGCATTGCTTGAATGAGCTGTGTCTGCTTTTCGGGATTGACCAAACTATGGTTAAAAGAAATCCTGGCTTAGCTGCTGAAACTTCTGGTGCATATACATTTTGCACTTGATAGCAAGAGAATCCTGTATACTGAATGAACCAATTACTTTCTGGCCCCTACAGAATAGCATGATTCCAGTGGAAGAGCGGCTGAACCAAGCTCAGCAGGAAGTGGCAAAATTGAAGGCCTCGCTCAAGAATTACGAAGGCCTGATTGAAACCTACAAGAATCAGGTACAAGACTTAACTGTGGCTTTTGTCAGCCTGTTTCCTCCTCCAGAAGTCCCGTCGTGTTGTCGATCTGGGACTTGGACGGAACCGAGTTCTGTTTGCTATTTCAGTCTTCTTGGATTCCGCATAAGCCCGTTTCATTCAGAGGTGGCTCTCTTAACCCCAAGTGGTGCTGCAATAAGCAAGTGCTAGCTTTGACCAGATTGCTACTGAAGGTTCTGTATCACCTTTCACATGTCTTTCTTTCCTCTGTTTTTAACTTTATTTCTGGCATCCAGGTGATGAAAACCCGAATGGAAGCCGATGAGGTGACTGTGAAATTGGAGCTGTGCGACAAAGAGAACAAAGCACTGAAGGAAGAAATGGCCAAGGAGATTGAAAATGCAAGTGTCTGGTTCGAGCTAGAGCCGTAGCATCAAATCTGGGGCTTTAGTATCTTGCAGCTCCCCAGGCCTGTTCAATTCCTCCTTTTTGTAAAGAACAGAACAGGAGCCCGCATTGCATTGTGCCTTTCTCATTTGAAGTGAAAAGTTCTGCCTGAATTAGAGCCACTGGCAGTGCACTTCTAATTGCTAATTAAAAATAAGTGACAGATAACAGTTTGGATTGGGGTAATGCTGTAGCTCAGGTGGGATCATGCAGGAAATTGTACATCCAGTCTCTGAATGGCTGGCTGGCTTCTCACATTCTTTCTAGCCTGCCTCCATTATTCTAGGCTGGGCAGACCCACGGCCGTTTTGTATGTTGTATAGTTAATCAGCTAGATCAAAGATGGCTCTCCAGAAGATAGTGGACTATCACTCCCATTTAGTTAGATGTGGGGTCCCTCAACATCTGGGGGGGCTGGCAACTTGATCTCCTTGTAGGGATCTCTTTCACTCCCGCCATCTTGTTTCTGCCCACAGGCTCGCAAACAGTTCCAGAGCCAAGTTGCTGAGCTGGAGAAGCTTCCTGAGATCTTGAAAATGACCGAGACCAAGCTGGCTGAGTGTCAGGATCAGCTTAAGAGTTACGAGAAGAAAAATATGGACCTGTCCGCCATGATTGCAGACCTCCGTCAGCGGGTAAGAGACTGGCAGAAGGCACCTACGCGAACCTCCAGCCGGGGACCAAAATGAGCTTCTAGCATCAGGAAGGTGCAATCTTTGTCTCTTGTCTCTTTTTGAAATGATTAAAACAGCTGCACGGCAGAATAAACAGACCCATGGCATGCCTTTGTTTGATTTGTGTGCTGTCTCCTTTTAAGCTGGGTGTGTGTGGAGTTGGCTCCTTGAGCCCTTATCCCTCTCTGTTTGCATGGGTGTGTTTTCCTCCACTGATGGTCCAGAATGCCTCAATCTGTGTGCTTCGCTTTGCTTGCAGGTAGCTGGCAGTTCGCTGGTGTGGTGCCGAGGAGAAGCCTTTTGTGCCGAATCAAACTAGACTCTAAAAAGGCCACCCAAAATGGTGGAAGGATTTATATATGTGTGTGTGTGCGCTGGGCTTAATATGTCAAATGGAAGATACTGGGGTGCATTCCTGCTTTGTAATCATTCTTCAGATAGCCACCACCATTCAAGAATGTTGGGGGTGTTAGTTATGGTAGTTTAATTGTGGGACAAAGATAATCACGATCCAAAGCTTCTTCCTCTTCCTACTCCGTCTGTCCCAGAACTTCATCCTGCCCTGAAACAGATTCTGGCACTCAACTCCAATTAGCTGTATTTCTACAAAAGCCTGATACCTTTTCCTATGGCTTTGCACTCAAGTTGGTTTTGTTGTCTCGGCCACTTCCTGTTTGTAAAGCGGGGGGGCTTCGATGTGACAAAAGAGCAGCATCCGTATCCTGAATTCTCTGTCTTTTTTTTTTTTATCCTTTCATTTTAGATTGAGCTTCAGGGGGACAAGATGGAATTGACAAGGGAAAAGTATCAGTCAGCCCAGGAAGAGAATAAGCAGTTGACTCTCAAGTTGGAGGAGCTGGAGAGGTTAGGCAGTGTGGGATAATATATGAGGGTGGGGGAAGATAATACTGTAAAGTGTTGATCATCTACTAATAATATTTGGAGCTCTAGTTTGAAAGGTATCTATAAATCATGTGTGGTTGTATTTTAGGAAGCTTGAAGCAACAAGTGGACAGAACATAGAATTTCTCCAGATTATTGCGAAAAGGGAAGAGTCTATCCACCAGTCCCAGCTCCGGTTAGAGGAGAAGACCAGGGAGTGTGGGTCCTTGGCACGCCAGCTGGAGATGGCCATTGATGACGCCAAGAGGCAGGTTGGTCCCTCCCTGAATGTTGGGTGGGATAGCTGAATCTTCTTCCAAGGCACTTGAAGAGCCAACTGCAGAAGTTCTATGAGGAGAAGGCTGTGGTGATAATTCCATCCCATCCCATCTTCCTTCCAGAACACTCTTGAGTATTCTTTAGCCTGGATTCTTCCAACCCCCTTTGATGGCAATGTTGGCCTTTGAGAAAAAGCCAACGACTCCAAGGTCAATTATTAAGTCTTATAATTAAGTGGGGTTCCTAATTTGAACACTTAAGAACAGGAAAATGGACCAGGTATCTGTTCTTGTTGAAACAGAATCCTAATTGCTCTCTTTCTGCCTGTAGCTGGAGCAAACAAGGGATCGTGCTGCAGTAAGAGAAAGGACAGCCCAGTCGAAGATGTTGGATTTGGAAACGCAGCTGAGCAAGACAAAGACAGAGTTGAATCAGCTTCGACGGAGTAAAGATGATGTAAGTAGATGTCCTCCATATTAGGAAGCCTGACCTGGCTGTTTCTACATGGGGAAGATAAATAGGTTCAGTGGTGGCCTCCATTGGGCATGTTCCAGTGCTAAATTTCTTGCCTGTCACAATGGCTTCGCTTGGAGCCAGGGAGTAGCAGCTTGAGACCTTCAAGATGTTCTCCGCTTGGGCTGGGGTTGACCAAAGCCAATGTAGACATAGGGTTGTGGGAATTGTAGTTCAGACTATCATGGAGCAGAGGACTTTCAAAGTCCTCCTAGTCCATGTATCAAAAGATGTCTGGGTGATACTTTTGTGAGAAAGATGAGTTACGGGGATCACTTTGGCCAATCCGTTTTTGAAATGGATGCTTTGCAGCATTGGTGGAGGAAAGGAATAGAGACCGCAACGCTTTCTTCTTCCACCATGTCTCTACGCAGGCAGAACGCCGCTATCAGAGCCGCCTTCAGGACCTGAAAGATCGGCTCGAGCAGTCCGAGAGCACGAACCGCAGCATGCAGAACTACGTGCAGTTCCTCAAGTCTTCCTATGCCAACGTCTTTGGAGACAGTGTCTTATCCAGCTCTCCCATTCGTCCCCGGTCTCCTCTGTAGTGGTACCTTTGCCCTCCCTGCCCAATCGTTCCTTGCAAGAGGCTCAGTTGGTGGGAAGGGGCATGTAACCAACTTCAAAGCCATAATCTGGTTCTGGAATCTGTGTGTCTTGGAATCCTCATCCGACTGTTGGAACGAGAGAGGCATCTTGCACGTGGGCTGAGGGGAAGGGCCCCAAGCGTTGTGTTCCCCCAGCTCTGCCAAGACTCCTAGTGCCTTGCCCAAGTTACATCATTTGCCGTACCCTGCTTGGTTTTTAATCAACTTTTATCCTTTTTAAAGTTTTGTATTAATGTTTGGGAATGCCTTATTCACTGTTCCCTCAAATTTCGAAGATCATGTTGTAGGATACTGAGCCAATGGGATTTTTATTTGGTGGTGTCAACTTGTAAACAATTGTGCATGCTTTTCTTCCTTGAACCAGATGCAGTGTGTGTGTGTGTGTGTGTGTGTGTGTGTCTGAGAGAGAGAGAGAGAAAGAACGAAAATAATTTCTTCCCGCAAGTTTATTTCATATGAGTGATGTTGTAATTACATATTTGGAACCACAGTTATAAGAGAGATATATGTGAAATATCCTGGTTTTATGGCACAATTATTATCTTCCTCTTAGCTTTATTTCATAAGAATTACTAGGATCTGCATTTAGAGAGCCACATAAATTTTCTTTCATATAAAGGAATGATATTCTGTTTGTTAAATATCCCTCTAAACAATTTGTCTCCAACTGGGTGGGAGGGTGAAGTTGCAAATGTTCTGGATAATATCTTAGCTTTTACTCTATTAACCATGAGAGTTTGATTCTGGAGCAGGCTTTATCCTTCCCTGACTGAACTCCTAGAGAAACCAGTTTGCTTTACTGAATGTAAAACACAGTGTTTCCACCACTCCCCAGTTTTCTGCTTTCACATTTTGTTCTTTGTTGTGTGGGTGGGAGGGGTGTGTGTGAAAGAAATCAACCGAGTCAACGTTTTTGATTTTTAATATTTACGTGTGAGACCATAAAATTGACTTGAAAATTTTTAAATATTTGAATTAACGTGTGACTTTTTTAAAATGGAAAAAGGTGCTATGACAAAGCTTTTTTTTTCCTCCTGAAATATCCTAGTTTTTATTCTTATTTGTAGGTGTATTCTTTTTTACAAAAAAACCCCAAAAGACCCTTTGTACAAAAGACAGGTGACATAGATGAAGGATGGAGCAGGACAATACTACTATTTAGTAGTGCTTTTAAGTTATTTGAAAAATTAGTATGTTGAAAACTGATGATTAGCTGAACTCGATCAATCCCGGCTGCAGAAATTCACATTAGAGCAAGCCATTTGACTGTAACATCTTAGCAATCGCATAATTAATAGAGTAATGCAAACAAATAAAAAGACAAAGATTACAGGACCTGACAGTCCTGATTAGTGGTACCTTTCTTTTCCTGTTACGGGTTAAAATGAATATGGAAGATAACTTTAATTTAGGTCAGGAATTACAGCATGTCCTTTAGTCTCCCTTGGCTGATGTGAATTGAGAGTAAATGGGAACTTGCGCAAAGCAATGCCATTAGAGTACATAACTTTAATTTGTTACATAACTTTAATTTGGTCAGGGTTTACCATTATGAGACATTCTTAAAACACTGCTGGCTTTCTCTCTGATGCTCTTGGCCGTGCCTCCAAATTTTCCACTAGAGGTGGAAAAGCCTTTCTGTGATGTGTTTTCTCTGGACACAGTCCTGTGAATTGGGTTGTGTGGGTAGCAGAGGATCAATCTACCAAGGAAAGCATTTGCAGGCTCTGTTTATGTCAGCCTTCCCAGGTAGACCAGACAGGAAACGCCACCAGATGAGCTAATTTTACTTCATTGTAAGGCTACATTAACAGAATCTTGCAAGGCTGAAAGTACAGATCTCCCGCCACCTCTTTTACAGCCTGATAAGTTAGGGAGGTTCATTTCTGAGTTTCTTCTTCTGCTCGTTATGCAGCTGAGGGCTGTGCTCCCTCTTATCTGACCGTTCCCTGGGCAGCACCTCTTCACCCCGTCTCCCGAGGTCTTTCCCACATCCCACTACAGTTTATCATCTCATTTCTGGGGCTCAAAAGTCACTTTTCTGCTTCATAGCTGCACGGAATCATGCCTGTTTCTCCGTGGCAGGCTCCTTTCCACCAGTTGGGGTCAGAACGGTCAGGCGCTTGGATCAGGTTTCCACGGCCGAGCAATCCCTCCTCCTGAGGGTTGAGATCCAAAGGAGCCTGCACATCGGAGGGTTGCTGGACACCGTCACCATCGCCACCTCGTTGCAGTGCCCCGGTCTCCAACCTGCGATTCTCCCAGGGCAGTCTCACCTGCTGCTTCCTCCCACTCACTTTGAAATGAAATGTGGCTTGTGGAGGATGGGCCATGAAGTCCATTGTCTACTCTGAGTGACCGGCCGGATACATTGTTCTTCGCGAAATGGCGTTAACCCCTCTGCAGCGTTAGACTTCTTCATCATCCCAGTTTCAGTAATCCTTAATGCGCTCAGAGATTCCAAAAGACAGATCGGATTCGGAAGAGATCCAGTACAAGAGAGGCGTGATTCTCAAGGCGCAGGCCCCTCTATCCTTTCGCGAGTCTATGTGCATCGCCTCCGAGCGGAAACGAGAGCAGTAGCTCTAGGGCGCCCTCTTCAGCCTCGCGGCCGTCTCCTTCCCCTCCCCTCCTCTCCCTCCCTCCCTCCCCGGAAGCGGAAGTGGCGTCAGGCGGGGCGGGCCCAGCGTTGCTCGGGGCGACTCTTGGCGGCGGCTGGCCGCGTTTGCTTTCGGCGCGATGCCGTCCGAGCACTTTCGCATGGAGACCGTGGAGGCC